AAGACGAGCAGTCTGTTTACATTCATCCTTCTTCTGCTTCAGGAACGATGTGCGACCTCAGGAGGAGACCTTTCACCCGTTTCTGTCGCACGCTGATGACGTACACACTGAGTTAGATAATACCTTCACTGACCCTCGTAAACGGCAAACTTCACAGTAACACATTTGAAAAGGTCCATTTAACATTTTATAGCATATTACTTTGGAACAAAATGTATTTGAAAAAGCAGAAAAACGAAGGAAACGTTTGTGAATGATTCATTAACTGAACCTACATACGTCCGTTTATTGTCTTATGAACGTAAGGTTTGGAAGTTATTTTCCTTGCAAATGTATTTTTAAAATTAATTTATTTTGAGAATATTTCCGGGAAATATCATTTATATATTAAATATATTCATTTTATATATATATATATATTTTATATAACCCATTTTAAAGGGTTTAGAGTAGACTGATTATTCTAGTCTTTTCCACACTGCCAAGAAAAAATATTGAATGGGGAAATAAGTATTTAAATAGATTTAAAAAAAAAAATATTCACCACTCCACTAAGTTTTAGCTTTTAATTGTACAATGTAAACTCCACGGAAGTTGTTGAAACAGAAACTCCCAGGCAAAATATAGTGGACAGTTTTCTCAGTACTGGATGATATCGTGATATTTCCGACAGCACCTGAATATAGCACAACAGCAGTGATACGAGAAGACCACTTGGTGGCGCAATGTACAAAGAAACTAAGCAGTGGAGGCAAACTAAATAAAACTACCCTGTCAAAATGAGGGAGAACTTGTTTTTTTTAAAAACTAATTTATTGATAAATGTGGACTAATTTATCCACCAACAAAGACATCAACAAGCAGGAAGAATAAAAAAATATCAGTCTGTCTACAAACAGAAATAAGAACAAAATACAAACAGCTGGTCTGTAAGTATCAGTGAATGTACAGGTCTATAATACAAAGCATTCTCTGCTGGCAGAGGAAATGAAGCCCTGAGCTCGGCCCCTCCCGGCAGCACCATGACGTCGTCCTGCTGACACTGAGGATGTGGCCCCTCAAAGCTGGGATCTATTTTTAGCTCCAACCTCAAGGGCCGGACAGACAAACAGGGCAAACTGTCACTCAGACCACCTGCCACAGTCAGGCAGCGAGCCAGGCACGGTGGCTGTGCAAGACTGAGGAACGAATCAGTGGAGCTGTTTTAACTCATCAGCAGTGACTTTCAGAGAACCTTGTTTAGGTTTACACAGATACCCCGCTGCCCGAGACGAAGGCCTCTGTGGAACGCAAACAAGTTTCTATTACTTTTGGGTACGGCCATAAAACTGATAACACAGATGTCATGTATGCAGTATTGTTTCTGGGAATGTGGGATTTTAAAGGCGAACTCCACCAATTATACACATAAAGGTCAATTTACTCGTCATGGCCATAAAATAGAGGCTTTTATGGCTCTGGAGGGAGCTCTGTCAAGTCTGAGAAAAAGGTTACCTCAGCTTGAGCCAGGGAATACACACAAAGTCTGTTACAAACTGTGGGAGTGGAGTTATGATTACATTTGAATTTATCCAGCAGGGAGGGTCTAACAAAAGATCTTACTGATTGCATTATGGGAAGGGTATGACTTGACCCCAGGAGGAGTTTCCATTCTACACATAATAAGTTTTGAGGGCCACAATATATATTACTTGGACTATTTAGGCAATTAATTAATTAATTAAGAAATACATAAATACATTCATTCTGTGTTTATCCACCAGAATAATTGCTGGTACTGTGGTAAGTGCTTTGAAACAGCACTTTGACCACCATGTTGGGAGTTAAAATGTACAGGAAATAGAACTGCTATAGGGACCTTTGTATGACCTTTATGAAGGTCTGGCCAATGCCTTGCTTTTGTGCACTTACATTGATTCATTGGATGATTATCCTAAATACCATAGTCCAGAGGTTTTCAGCAGTTTCATGGGAGGTGAAAAATATCACATTAGTTATTAAAAGGAGATCACATAAAATTACCTAAATGTGTGTGATTTGTTAAAGAGATAGTTTAGAGATACAGTAGTTCTGGGGAATTGTTTGTTTGTTTTTTGAGTCAGAAACTTTTAAATTCCTTCGGACATATCTTTTATGTACTTGTTGATACATTATAAAGGTAATTGTTGAGTGTTTATGGGATCAGATAACACCATCATGATCCTATAGGTATCCAGGAATTGAGCGAAACTAAGCAAGATGGTCTAAAGGGGGGACCCTCAGTCTCAGACTTTGAAAACCCCTGCCATAGGCATATACTGGAACCCTAAAGATAACCAATAGGAAGACAGAAACTACTTTAGATTGTGCTGAATACAATTACAGTTTAGAAGTGGGAATTTGTTTTAAGTCTGAAACTGGTTGCCAAATGTGAAACATGTTTGCTAGCCATAATGCTAGCAAACCTAGCTCTTGCAATGTTCTAGTGCAGTGCAAGAACCTTTTTTGGGTTAAAAAAAATTGCCAGTTTAATGGTGCATTTCATTTGAACTGGGAAGTTGGAATTTCAGGGTTCCCAGTAAGAAATTTAAACTGGAACGACCCCATGATGTCAGATTTCCAACTAGGAAAGTTGGAAGAATCTCACCAACCCCAAAGTTGTGGTAATATGTTTATTAGCACTTCTGTCGTTTGTGTCTCATCAGAGTACTATCCAACTTCTGTCTGTGGACAGTGTTTATATAAGTAAAATAGATAATATAAAAATAATGTGTTATTATCAGCTGCTATCACTAACAATAGCTAATGGCTAACCGGGCAAGAGCAGTTAACTCAGGTGTGATGTCATTCCCAGCTCACACTTCAGACTTCCCAGGTAAATAGAAAGCACCATAAGTGTAGTCTGGATTCTAGGACCCTTTTCAGAACCCTCAATGTGTATGGTCCCAGTTTAGGTAGAAAAGCCTATAGAAAGTGGGGTTCCTAGACCCATTCAGTCATTCAGCTGAGACCCAAGAAAATCCACTCTCTGACAAAGTACAGACACTCAGAAGCAGCTCAGGTTTTACAGTATATCGCTTTATTTTGCGTTCTCAACATCGTCACAGTACTAGATTTACATCAACAGGGGATTTCATCTACTTAGAAACAGAATGCATAATAAAATAAGAGCACTCCTCCCTTCTCTTCGACTTCAAAAGTGGGCTGTGAGTGTGAGAGAACAGGAGCGTCGGAGGAAATAAGTCAAAAGCGGTGTTAACTGTGTAACAGTTGGCCGTTCATCTCTAGATCCTATGATAATTCAGTCCTGTCGGAGGCAGAGAGAAGCAGTTGATGATTATGTAAATATCAGAGGGGAGCAGGAATGCAGCATCAATGTAACTGCAGACATTGAGTAGTAGTATTAATAATAATAATAATAATAATTTACAGACTATTTACATATGTGTTCTCTGTCCTTACTACCAACAATTAAAATGTCTCCTAGCTTTTAAGCCCTCGTCATCAAGTTACATTAGATTTCCCCCCATGGACTTGCTATTTACACACGTCTTTATACTGTACAGTGGAAATAGAGGTGAAATGCATGCCGGAGGAGAATGACAACTTCAAAATTAAAAGACGCACTAGTAGGCCAGAAATCATCTAAATGTAAACAAGCATCAGTCAGACAAATCAAAGCTACGTTGAAAGTTTAGGGTCTACTCAAGCCTGCCGCTCAATGGAACAACACTTAAAAAACCAAAACAAAGAAAAGACAAGAAAAAGAAACGGTAGGCATCAATGGCATGCAACAAAGCACCTCACACGGAATCTGGACAGGTTTTTACAATAGATCAGTCGTCTGAAGGAACTGGAGGGCTGTGACCAAAAAACACTCTGATTCAACACAATTTGGAGAACCATCGACATTTAATAAAGCTATGTTTCTTCTTGCTTGGTGTCCGCACCATTATTCCATGGTTAGTTATCAGACTTTGTGATTGGTCAACTTTAAGGAAGCGGTAGGTCGACAAAATTTGGTTTCCAATTTATTTGGTATAAAACCGATTGAAAATGCAAAGACCATGAATTATTGGCACCTTTCGGACTCCGTAGAAGCTGAACTACGCTGTTTAAATGCTGTAAATGTTGTATATCTGACAGATTTTAGAGTAGCCTACAGTCCATAAAGCCTGCAAAATACACTGAGTGATAGTTTGAACCACTGTTTAATATGGCAACTTTTATACAGGGTTTATAGGTTGTACTTAATGGCTTCATTAATGGTTAATAACTACTTTACTAATACTTTAGAAATCAGTGATATGCTATTTATAAGGACATTTGGGTTGCCAGGTTGTGAAAATGCATGTGTGTATTCATGAGGTCAAACTAGCATTTTCCTCCTCATGAAACATTGTTAGGTATTTTATATGATACAATACATACAATGTTTACACCTATGCTTGCCAGTCTTCTTCACTGCCTTTGTCAGCACATTGCTATATTTCTTTGGCCGTTATGGCCTCCAATCAGCTGGTGTGTTGATCGACAGCAAATAGACTTACTAATCTTTCCTGGGGATAAACACCAGCAAAAGGGATTTTTTCCAAACTGGCAATCCAAACGCTGTTTCTATTAATGGCTTATTACTGGTGTATAAAGCATTAGTAAATTACTTATTAACTAGGGGTGGGTAATCAGGGGATTTTAGATTGTGATCATTTTCAGGCAAATCCTGGACGTCGCTGTATTTAGTTTTCTCTATTACTTCTGTTTCCAAACTCCAAAGAATCCGCGCTAACCAATAGAGTGATGTAACCAACTAGATGGCTATGCTGATTGGACGAATGACTTCACGTGGCCCTTCCTTGCGTGACAATTTGTAATCAATGCAACTGAGTTGTTATGTTGCGTTATTTTTTTATTTTTTTGGCTTCTGTTTACAACTTCGAATTAAACCAGTGTAGTATCTTTAATGCAATGTT